GTTCATCACTAACAACATCGGTATCCTTTTTATCAAACTGCAAATTTGAAGTCGAAAAATTTTTGTTATGCACATTTATAGTAGAAGGTTTATTAGTAGGTAACGTTTGTTCAGCCCGAAATGTTCCTTTTTTTGCTTGTAGAAAGAACATTTAGTTCTCGCAACCAATGATCCGCTTTGATTTGAAAGTTTTATCAACTTTTAATGCATTCACTTCTGAATCAATTCTACTTGAAAAGCTTTTGTGCTCTTTGTAGGATATGCTAAAACGTACACGTCAAAAATACTTTCATTCATTCAAAAAGAATTTATCGGCGCTAACAAATCAGTTATACATATATATATATATATATATATATATATATATATATATATATATATATATATATATATATATATATATATATATATATATATATATATTTTTTTTTTTTTTTTTTAATTTTTTTTTAGTGTAATTTATTTCGCCGTTAAAAAATTTTTACATTGCATATACATTTTTATAAATTGATGGCTGGAGCAAGAAGAAGGCACATTTCGCCTTATCGCCGAGCCCCATTAAAAATTCTACATAACCGTAACATACAAATATATATATAAAAGAAACAATTAGAAATGAAATAGAAAATAACTAATATAATAAAAAAAAATAAAAAATAAGAATTAATTAAGAAGCATTAAGATGCTTAACAGTTGCTAAAATGTTTAAGAAATAAGTTAATATAAAAAAAAAAAAAAAAATAAAAAAAAAAAAAAATTCCTGAATATAAAAGAAATTGAAAAAATTAAATCTCATAATTAACACTAAATGAATATGTAACATCATCACTTATGACATCATCACTTGTGACATCATCACTTGGATTTCTTATTCTTTTTTTTTTTTTTTTTTTTTTTTCTTTTTTTCCTTTTTCTTTCTTTTCTTATTCATATTATCATATATCATTGATATAATTGAATCTGTTTTTTTTTTATTTTTTTTTTATTGTGTTTACTTTAAAATAAACATTTTAAGTCGGATTTATTGAGATCCATGAACAATAATAATCGTTTTGATTCATCCTTAAATTGCTCTAATGTAGTCTGCTTTTTGTTAACAATATCTGGAAATTTCTTCCACAGATAAGGTCCGCGGTATTTAATTGAATAGGAAGTTAATTTTAATTTATGTTTTGGAACAACAAAATTGTTTTCTGAAAACTTTGTTGAGTACCTATGGTTAATTTTATTAAAATAAGATTGAAATATTTTAGGAGACAAATCCTTTTTTGTTTTAAACATAAACAATAAAACTTGGTGTAAATTAAGTTTATATACATTTAAAGCACCGAGCACACTTAGAAGTGGTTCGCAAGGAACATTTCTGTTGGCTCCAAATACTATTCTACATGCATGTTTTTGTTTATTGTAGAGTTTCTTTAGTTTTGTATGACTAGTACTAGCCCACACAACATTACAATAAGACAAATAACTGTGAATAAAGGCGAAATATAATTTTTTCAGAGATGATATATTTAGAAAGGGTTTAGCCCTAAACATCATTGCAATATTTTTTGAGATTATTTTTTCAATGCTATTTATATGTGAACACCATTTTAAATTTTCATCCAATTTTACTCCTAAAAAGTTTATGTAAGATTCCCTTTTAATATAAGTTTTATTAATATTAAGATCTGGTAATTTAAGAGGAATATTTTCTGATTTATTTACTTTATGGAAAAGCATATATTTTGTTTTTTCCGCATTTAGTGAAAGTTTATTACTTACAAACCATGCACTAACATTACATAACTGTTCGTTAACTATTTTAAAAAGTGATTTAATATCTCTGTGAGAACAAAAAAGATTTGAATCATCAGCAAACAAAATTAGGTCTAAAAGATTTGTTGATAGGTATAAGTCGTTTATGTACAATATAAATAAAAGTGGTCCTAAAATAGAACCCTGAGGAACCCCGCAAGTTATGGAGTGTGGAATTGTATTATTTTTATTATAGTATAAAAATTGCTTTCTGTTAGTCAGATAATCTTTGAACCAAAGTAAGTTTTTATTTTTTACACCGTAGTTTTCGAGTTTTTTTATTAGTATATAGTGATTTACGGTATCAAAAGCTTTTGACAGATCAATGAAAACTCCTAATGTAAAACAGTCATTATTTAATATATATATATATATATATATATATATATATATATATATATATATATATATATATATATATATATATATATATATATATATATATATATATATATATATATATATATATATATATATATATGTAACGTATTGCGTCAATATATAAGATATTGAATAACTAAGGTTAAATAAAGGTTAAGAAAGTTAGTAATTGTTTATAATCAAAATTGAATATATGTTGTTTTGTTGCACGTTTAAAATGTAGAATTGAAGTTATAGTCTTTATATTACTTGATAGAATCGAGTTTTGAGAAGTTACCTTGTTTTATTAAACTTTTGGTATACCAAAGTTCTTAATTGAGTACTTAGTTTGGTATTTATGGTTTATAGAAATAAATTGATATTGGAAAGTGTTTGGTAGTAGTAGATTCTTGAATTTAAACATAAAAAGTAGTATGTTAAGAATATTTACTTAAAAGACATTATGCACTCTAAGTTCGTTTAGTAGAGTTTTGGCACTGGTGTACCTGTTTGCGTTTAATGTTAAACGACATGCATGCTTCTGTTTTTTGTAAATTGCATTTATGTTACAGTAATTGATGCAGCTGTGAATAAAAGAGAAATAAATATTTTTTAAACAAGTTGTATTAAGAAGATGTTTTGGTTTATACATAATTCCAATAGATATTTTCTTTTCCACTTTTTTGATATGATTACTCCAGACACCACTTTCATTAAGAATTATACCTAAAAAGTTGAAAAGTCAATATTTATACAGAAGAATCTCATGGTTAACAATGTAAAATGATTTGGAAAGATCAAGGAATACCCCTAGTGTAGAGTGTATTTATTTTTATTGAATCATTTAAAATTTTATTTACAAGTTTGACTACAACGTGTTCCTTTGAGTGTCGGTTTTGAAATCCATATTGATTAATATTTAAGAGGTGACGATTAACTTAATAATATCTAAGACACTTTTTAGTAAAAATTTATTAAAAATAATACCGGTAACACTCAAAAAACATGGAGCATCATTAAAGGACAAAATAACTCCTAGAAAAACAAGTTTTAAATCATATTTAGAAGAAAAAGATCTCGAAATGGAAGAGAATAATAAAAAAAAAGTTTTTTGACATTTGCGCTAATGTATAAGATTAAACTAAGATATTGTTCATTCAATGTCTTATAAGACACTGAATAAACTTTATATGTACATAAATCCTTCTCAAGTAAGTAAGATTTCTGTACATATAAAACTAAACATAGTTTTATATGTACAACAATTCTACTAAATTGAGTAGGATTTCTGTACATACAAAACTATAGGATATTGTTTTATAGGATAAAACTCCTATAAGATTTTGGAACAGTACTGTATAGGAATCCTATCCTAAAGAACTTCCTAAAGGTTGTTTTTAATTGCGTTATCCTATAGAAAATCCTGTTCCAATTTCTTATAGGAATGTCCAATTTCTTAAAGGAATTTTACAGGATATCCTATGACTTTTTGAAAAGGGAGATTCAAACTCATTCCGGATAATTACTTATCACTCGTTAGTTCTTGGCTTATTGCGGTATACTCTTCTATTTAAGTGCCACCATAGAAAGAAGTTTGGAGCTGTTAGTGTGACGACCAATTGATTTCAGAATTTATCGATACATTTCATCATTGACAGTTCGTGTGTTTTCTGCATCTTCTTTAAAGGAATAATTTCCAAGAACTTTTTCCGCATAAAAAATTCAGGTTACTTTTTCATGATGTAGACAACGTTAGTGTACTATTCTTGGATTTTCTGTACCCCAAAATTGCATATTTTGTTTATTAACAATAGAAGTCGGCCTCTTTGCCCATAATAAGTTGTTAATGAACTCAGGTTTTTGCCAATTCTTTGAAATGTTTAATCGTACCCGATAACATTCTGGCACCATTTCCTGCATCTCTTATGAGACAACTGTCAGAATTCTTTGGAGCTAAGTTCGAGCTATTTCAAACTGTCGGGAACGCCTTCGAATCGACACTGAAAAAAAAGCTTTTTCTCAACGCTTTTGCGTACACGCTAAATATTGTCCTGTGACCTGCCAGTACGTTAAGCTTGTTCTCCATTCAGAACTATTTGCGCTTAGGAGGAACGGAAGAGTTCTTTGAGCATGCGCAAAAAATTCTGATTGGAGAACGGGTCTAAAAAAACTGTTTGCGCATGCTCAAAGACTTTTCCGCTTCTCCAAAGCGCAAAAAGTTCTGAATGGAGAACGGGCTTTACAGGTCACAGATTCGCGAATTTGAAACCGCCGGACCAAGTCAACTATAATTTGTTTACGTTGGTGGTGAATTAACTAATGAACGAATGACGGTCTTCTAACATCAAAATGAAAAGTGTAAGATAAAATTTCCAGATAAAATTCGTTTTACATTGTTCGTTCGCCAATTTATTTATATTTAATTAACAATAATTACATTTGCATTATCTGAAATATATAAAATAAAATTATTGTAAAAAGTTAATATTTAAGAATTTAAAATGGTCAAGTTACTTTTGGGCCATCCTGTGTATAACAATGCTAATAATAAAGTAAAACTTAGAGCTGCAAAAGATGGAAGGAGTTGTTTTCTTTTCTTTGGGAAAATGACATACTGTAAAAAGAAAAAAAAACCTTTTTTTCACCCGCGGACTATTTAGTTTTAAATTGAAACTAATATAAAAGTTTTACTATTCATGCCGAAAGATAAAGATGTACGCACATCTTTATCACACAGAAATATTGGGAAAATGCAAAAAAACTTCGTTTTGTTTAAGTTGATATTTAACAAAGTTAAAGCTGGTTGGCTTTTGTTTAAAATAAAGTAATAACACTTGCACTCAATTGTTCTAATATTTCTTTCAGACAATTTTAAAGTTTATTCTTTTGAGTTTCGTAACGGCTGTTACATGAAAGTTTATAAACGTTATATACGCTTTATACATGTTGCACTGGAGTTAGTCTTATTTCTAAGAATAAGTATATTTCTATAGTTATTTGAGTCATTTCTTAAATCAATAATTAACGTCTTCCAGGTCCACCACCACCACCACCTCCACCTCTAGGACCACCACGACCTCTTCCCCTTCCACGTCCACGAGGTCCGCCTCGACCACGCCCACGAAGACCTAAAAATATAAAAAATATAAAATAAAGGAATGATTTCACTTTTTCTTTGAAAATTTGCGAAAAATTCGTTTCTAAATTAAAATACCTTTATCTCCTCTTGCTTTAGATTTAGGTTCATCGTCAACAAGCAATGTATCTAAAGGTAAACTTTCAGGTAGTATGAAGTAACGAATGTTATTTCCACGTATGCTTAAAGTTTCTAGCTGAACTGGATCCTTCCCTTTTAATGTCATTTTAACAGCTTTTAAATGAGTATTCATACTCATGTCAACACCTAAAATATTAAACACGAGTATGGATTATTAGAATTGTAATGTTGTTATTAAAAAAAAGTTAAATTAAATTTAAAGTTAAAAACTTTTTACACGTAAAATTTGCATTAAAAGCAAATCAATTTTAATATGGATAATATCGTTTGATAAACCGTATTAGGTATTAATAATAATATCGTATTAGGTTTTAATATGCATAATATCGTTTGATAAACCGTATAGGACCTATCTACATTTTGGTCTAATTAAGTTTAGTATAAAACTTAATTTAGTAGAACTAAAAAGCGGGAAATTTTTTTTTTTAAAATTTAAATTTACGGTCAGTAAACACAAGATTTATTTTGAAACAGACCTGTCAATCTTTAGTTTACTGAACTATTAAATTCAATTGCATACAAATAAGTTTTTAATTATGTAAACATTATTTGTACGAGCGTACAAATGTCAGTGACAAAATAATAAGAACATTATTTATACGAGCGTATGACCTCTTAGAAATAAAACCTTAAAATTTACAAAAAAAAAAATCCTCCCTGAATAGGACTTAAAACCCTAACACTATCACCTTAAAAGAAAATTATTACACACACGGCGCTACACGAGTATATTAATGACATAACAAATAAAAAACAAATTTTTTGACAAGTTGAATGGAGACATGATGGAAAGCTCTAATCAAGTAAAAAAAAAAATTAAAAAAAAAAAAAAAAAAAAAAAGGCAGTTTTTTTTTAATTATGAGCTTTTTTGGGTCGAAATTCTGAACTTTTTTGTGAAAATTGATGGAAATGTACCAGAAAAGATTAGAACAAGGATCTATAGTCGGTTAATGCACTTTTTTTTAGAAATTATCCTATTGAATTGCAATTATTTTATTGTTAGAAATTGAAATATAAGGTTAATGCTGTCGAGCCAAATTGATTTAAAATAGTGTTTTAGGTTCAATATTAGAGGTAGGTAAAAATTTATATATATATATATATATATATATATATATATATATATATATATATATATATATATATATATATATATATATATATATATATATATATATATATATATATATATATATACACACACACACACACACACACACACATATATATATACACATATACATATATATATACACACACACACACACACACATATATATATATACACACACACATATATATATATATATATATATATATATATATATATATATATATATATATATATATATACATAAAAGTTTCTTTAAACATAAAAATATGAAGCAAAAAAAAAAAAAAAAATCTAAAGCTATTGTTTGTATATAATACGCTGACAAAATCATACTAATTCCAAATAAAAGATCAAATAATTTAAAAATTACCTTAACTACATTAAGTTATACTGTTTATACTTCACAATATATAAAATTTATAGTATTTTATAATGCAACTAAGATTCAATATTATAATCGATATAAATTTAACAACAAATATACAATTTAAATTGTTTTCTGAACAATGATAATAGTGTACATACTATTATGGTTTACCTAACAATTTGTTTAAAATTTACCACTGAAAACAGATTGACATAAAGGGTTAGATAATTATTGGTAGTTTCAAAAATTTATTTTTTTAAAAAATAACTAAGAATGATTTTATTTCAGCTTTTAGTAAAAAAAATTAAGACTCTTGAGATAACACACTTAAATTTAATGCTATTGTTTAATGATAAAGCATTAGTGACCATTTAAATGAATTTAATGGAGTCACCTTTAACTAATTAGTCTGTGCCAACCAAATGCAGACATCCATGTAGTGGACTGCAGTAGGAATTAGTAGTAACAGATTATATAAAAAGTACTTGGTTTAAACTTTAAAACAACTTTCATAAAATTTTAGTTGAGTTGGAAAACCTTTGTAGTAATGTAACAGCCTGGTATATATGTTTGTTTGATATTGCGCTTTTATAGCATTTATTTTAGATAAAAAAAAAAAAAAAAACATTTTTGTTACTTTAAAAAAATATTTGAATCATGACATCAGTAGAACTGTGATTTGAAGAGAGCTGCATTTCTGATGTGCTTGCTAAAATTGTTTTTAAAAATTGAATCTATACAACCTTTAGCAAGGTAAGCATAAATGGCAATGTTTATCTGACAGGATAAACTAGGTATTGGTGCTGAGCTTCTAAATGTTGGTAATAATAAACGCGATTCTGAGAAGTACCACCACAACATAAATTACCACCACTACATAAATTATGATTACACAAAAGCAATGTTTATTCTTTATCTAATACTTCCTGACATTTCATTTTAAATACCGATAAATCTATGCATATGTATATTTGTTTTAATGTATGTTAAGCATTTGTATTTAATGAAAATTTATGGTTACTTATGTGTCCTGTTTTGTTCTAGATATACTTTAATGATAAAATTACTGTTGACTATGATTTGTGTAAGCTTTTTCTTCTTAAAAAACAAATCTGTGTTTATTCTCAACATGTGTTTAATTTTTTTGGTTTTATTTGTTCTCCTTTATATAAAAAGTTTTTTCAATAGAAATTTCTCTGTGGGCTATCATTGCTCAGTCTAGTTCAAGCACCAAAGATTACCTACATTAATTACAGGCTTTGTTAAAAAGCATTACGTCATTTGGAATTTATGTACAAAATTTGGCATATGCAAGTAATTTACGTTACACAAAAACTTTTTTCAAATAGTTTATTCAAACGTCTTTTTAAACAGTTTATGCAGAAAACATTAAACTGTAATTAATTGCTGTGAAAAACATTTGTGGAATATTTCTTTTATATATATAAAAAAAAAAAAAAAAACGGTAGCAGGAAAAAATCCCTGCGAAATAATCCCATGAAAAAATATCCTTCCCCGAAATTTTTTTTTTTTTTTTTACATAAAAATTATTAATAAAATAGTTATTTATTTTAAATAGTTTTATAAAATACTTCATTTTTTATCAAAATTTAAAGTTATGCGCTATTCTGCTACATCGACTGACAAATAGCCTGACTCGCAACGGAGTGCTGCTACATCCACTGACAAATAGCCTGACTTGCAACAGAGTGCTGCTACATCGACTGAGGGTTTGGGTTAGGCTGGCAGTCTATCAAATAATTAAAAAGTATAGTTTTACTTAATTTCCTTTTATTTTTTCGCTTAGGGTTAGGGTTAATGACCCTTTTTGAATCCAAATTGTTTATTATAAAGAATGTCATTAATATCTAAGAAATAGTACAGTCTTTTTTACATAATATGTTCTAATATTTTTGAAAAGCAAGGTAGTATTGAAATAGGTCTATAATTTTTAATACATGTTGCATCTCCAGATTTTAGAACCGGCATCACCCTAGCAAATATAAATATTTAAAATAAATAAAGAAATAAACATAAGTGAATATTGTTAATTTTTATGTAAAAAAAAAAAAAAAAAAAAAAAAAAAAATTTGGGGGGATTTTTTCCTAGAACCAAAAAAACAACAGATAGATAAACTTTTTTCTATTTTCTGTTTTTTTGTAAAAAAATTTTATTTTTTATTTAACTTTTTTTTTTACATTTCAGGCGTGAAATTACTTTTTAAAAAAAGTTTTTTCTTTACCATTAACTTTTTGAATTGATTATAGACTCAACATCAATTAGAAATGATTAACTAGTTTATCAGTAGTATGGGAAGATTTTGTTAAAGCCAAAATGTTCAAAAAAGGGTCAATAGTTTTTATTTTTTGACCGTTAAAGTGATCCTTAAGTGCCAAGACAAGTTGTGTTCATATAAAAAATCATTGAAAAATAAGTTCCAATTTAATCAAACTTTCCAGAACAAATTGTTATCGAGATATTAGCGAAAAACTTTTTAATTTTTAAACACATTTTTTTTTTCTTTAAGGTAAGTTCTCTTTGGTTTAAAAAAAATAAAAATAATACTGGCACTTTAGTAGTTAATAAATGACGTCAGTACAAAAAAGTTCTTTCAAATAACTTAAACTAAAGTTATAAATGTTATGTTTGGGTTTTCCCTTAGCAGTAGACTTTTATGCAGAAGAATATCATTATATATTTTATAAAACAAACTAAACTTTTAAAACCGAATAAAAACAACGCAATCAATAAGTAAAAGCCAAAGGTGGTGAGATATGTTGCAAAGACAAACCCCTGATGAGTGGCGTTAGTGCAAGTCTCGGGCTCTCCGAAACGTCATTGGTGATCGCAGTGCATTCCTAAGGAGGGGGATCACCATTCATCCACTACTTAATTATAATTGGTTATTATGGCGCCAACATTTTTTTTACCTTATACATCCATGTATTTTAGCACTTTGTGAGCTTTTTATTATGAATTTGTTACATTAATGACATTTATATATTTTATATTACACAGGTGATTATCAGCTCTCAATTTATTATCTAGAGTTTAGACCGTATCTAGTACCACATTTATTAGACTTTTTACTTTATTTTAATCTACTTATTTTATTGTTTTTGTATGGTGTGATTATTTTAGTAATGGATACCATTAATGTGAGTGTGAGTTTTTTTTTTTTTTTTAAAAAAAACATCTTTGCTTCCAACAAGGCTGCAAGCAACCACTAATTAGTGTTGGAAGTTACTGGAAGTGAAAAGATGAAGATTGTAGAGCAAGATAACGATTGACAGATGACTTAAAAGATTGCAAATTATATAAATCAGGAAAGCAAGATGAAGGAAGCGAATTCCAAAGAACTGATGTTGGAGGAAAAAAACTAGACAAATAAGAGTTTTTGGAGCACTTAGGAACAGTAACAGAAAAAGGATGAGACTTAATTGAATGACAAGTAACACGAGAATGAATTTTTGTAGATGGCACAAGAGACGCTAGCTCTTTAGAGCAGTGCCCATTATAGTATTTATAGAAAAGAGAAAGAGAAGCAACATTACGACGATGTGAGAGAGGTTGAAGGTAGGCTGCAATAGCAGGTCCAACTATGTTTACAATGCGTTTTTGCACCTTATCTAAAAGAGAAAGGGCATCATTAGAAGATCTGCCCCAGATATGGCAACAGTATTCCATACAAGGCCGGATTTGAGATTTATAGAGATAGAGAATAGAATTCAGAGTAAGAAAGTGACGAGCTCGATAAAGAGAAACGACTTTAGCAGATGCTAATTTTGCAACGGATTTGATATAAGGTTTCCAAGAAAGATCAGAAGTAAGAGTTAATCCTAGAAGATGAAGGGTAGGAGACTCATCGAGTACATTACCGTTCATAAATATAGGAAGGTCTAAATTATCGCGATAATGATTGGCTGAAAAAAATTGAGTTTTATCTGAATTATGGTTCCTCTCTTTTTGAGTTGCTAACTTTAACTCCTCCTAAATATAATAAATAGTCTTTACATTAACTTGTTTTTTTTTACCGAAATGACATCATCTACAACCTGTTTTTATTTTCACATCTCCCAGGTCTACGTAACTGGACGGTTCCATTAGTCACTTTTTGTGATCATTGTGTCACATAAACAATAAAATTTATTCTTTGTGGCTGGTGAGCCCTGACTTTTTCCAATGTACACCACAACAACAAAACGGACATTAGGCTATCCTGTGGGATACGGCAATCAATAACCTAATGACTACGCTGACACTCACACACAATCAATCAGAAGGTTCACAATGCGTTGTATCAGCGTTCGCTGACTATACGCTCAGATCTGAAATCTCACTTCATAGCACATCACTTCACACCAGCATGGGGCAGTGGTTCTTTTGGTTAAGAGTGATGACTTGTGGCATACAGTGACTAATGTGCGCATTTGATCAATTGAAATTCATTCTGTAGTTCTTACATCTGGCTCAATCTGACAAATTATTGAGTCAAGGCATCAGTATAAACTTGAATTTGAAGAGAACTGCGTTTCTGATATGTGCTTGCTAAAATTGTTTTAAAAATTAAAGCTATACAACTTCTATAAAATTTTAAAGTTTTTATTTCTGGTCACGTATATTGCATTGAATAGTAAGATTGAGTAGTAAGTTTATTTCACAAAAAACTTGAGCCCAAAAAAACATTTTTATTGCATTTCCAACAGATTTGAGTTTCTTAAAATAAAACTAAAAGATTTTTAATCCTTTATATGGTTGCTTTAGTTGTATTACACTTTAATTTTTGTTCAACAAAAAACCAGAAGAGTTTCAATAAAACTTCAATATGGTTATTATAATTAAATGGGAAAGTTTACAATGCTGTTTAATTTTTTAAAGTTTCTACAAAAATTTAGCTAATGTTTATGCAACAACATAAATTTATGTAAGTTTATAAATGGTACTAACACATTAAAAAGAGACCAAATTTCTTTATTTAGTCTCCTTTTCACACTTTTGTAGGATCTATGTATCTTGAAAAAATTATTTTGTGACTTTACCTATGCGTCTTTAAAAAAAAAAGAACAAAATTTAAATTATATTAAATGATACCAGTAATAGTTCCATGTGCAACTGTTCCATTCTTTAACTCAACAGTAACTGTCTCATGACTTAACTTCATCAGAAACCTATTAGAAAACTTTACAGAATTAAAAACAACAATGAAATAAGATTATACTAGAAAATTAATGCTTAAACAAAATGATATTGGTAAATTTAAATAATAAATATAACATTAGAAAATACAAATTAAATAAAATTCTTAAAAAAAAAAAGTTTATAATCTATATAAAATATATACAATAAAGCCCAATAGTGTTTATTAAACTCTGGTCATATCAAGCGTAAAAATAAATTTATTACAAATATTATATATTATAAGTATTTTGAGTAAGTGTGAATTTTTTATGAATAAAATTTTTTATTTAACTTATAATAAATTTTATTTGCATTTTATTGGAAGCAAAAAGCAGAAGACGATAATAAAATGCTAGTATAAATGAAAATGAAACTTTTTTTGAGCCAACCAAGTCAAAGAAAATATTTCTTATTTACTATACTTTTTACATTTAAATTTTTATGTATTTAACAACATTTGAAGTAATCCTATATGTAATCCTTGAAATATTTAAAACTGTTTGTGGGTTAAAGCCCCAGCACTTTATTCTAGAATTTTTATGAAAAGTATGGCCTCATAAAACAAATTCACATACTGATTAATTTGAGCTTTATTTCAAGTCTAATCTTCAGTTTTATCTTAAATTAAATTATAACTTTTAAGATGAAGAACAATGTATTTGAATATTTATTTTTATTTATTACTTAATACAGGGCTCAATTTAACAGTCGGGCATTGCCCGGCTAAAACCTCAGATTGTCTGATCAATTTACAAAGTAATCAGACATTTTGACCGACAGGAATTTAATTCTACAAAATAAAGCTTAGACAGAAAATGGCGTGTGATCAAACTTTTTGTTTATAACAAATTTTTTTTGTTTATAACTTGACCACAACTGTTTAGATGTTTTCATGATTTAAAGTTTAAATCATCAAAACATCTAAAAGGTAGTTGAGTTTTTTTTATCTTTTTTCCCAGTTTAAGTTTAGCTTAATGTTTCTTTTTTCAGCACATTTTTAAAAACGTTTAAAATTTAGATTTGAAACATTTTCTTTTTGACATTTAAGTTTTAAACGTTTCAGAAATGCGCTGAAAAAATAAGCGTTAAACTAAACTTAAGTTTTACAAATTACTTCTATTGATTGTTTAATGAATGAATAAATTTTAAATTATTGAAAAGTGAAATTAAATTATTGAAAAGAAAAATAAATAGTATTTTTAAGTTGTATAAACATTTTCAAAAAGTTGCACAAAAAAATTGTTTAAAAAAATAATGTAGTCATTTTAAAATTATAATAATCATTTCATGCTTTAATTAGTAAGTCAAGTTTTTAAAAAATTATTTGCAAAAATAGAAACAAAAAAGTAAAATAAAAAATAAAGCAATTTAATCATGGGAAAGATTTAATTTAACTTATTCATAACTTAAAATAACTTAAAAAAATAATCCTTTAAAAGATTTTTAGAAAGACAAAGAAAAATAGTTTCAAATGTTTAAATTTATCATAAAAAAATACATACATTAAGGATTAAAAGTTATTTATAACAACGATTTTTTAAATTACATTTGAATTGTTAAAACATCAAAACAGCTGTTGTCAAACTTTAAAGAAAAAAAAATAAGTGTTGTCAGCTCAGTGTGAAAATTCAAGGAAACCTTAAAAACATACAATATTAAATTGTAACTATTTAAAAAAAAAAAAAAAAAATTTGCAATGAAATATTTTTAATAAGGAAAGAAACAACTTCACTAGACTAAAAAAAATTAAAAATTATATTTGAAAAATTTGATTGGACATTGTCTAACCTAAACAATTTTTGATCGGACATTTTGTCCATGACTTTATAAAAAATTAATTTGAGTCCTGTTAATACTTTCTATATTTTACCATCTTCACAAAAGCAAGCTGAATTTCCACACATCACTGTAATAAAAATATTTTAGACAAAATCTACTTTTTTCTTTATTAAAAACCATGAATTATGGAAATTATTACGAGGCACTATCTTTTATGTTTAGAAAGTGCTGTACAAACAAACCAACTAAAAGGTGCCTATTCTACAAAATGTGTTGGCTAATTACTTTTAGGAAGTTTAATAGGTATTTAATTTTATATAAAAAGTTTAGTTGAGGTTATGTTACAATATATAAAACTATTTTTCTGGAGATGGCTAAGTTTTAAGTAATAATTTCTCTTTAAAATTAGATAAAAATATATATGCATAAATATAGAATTAAATTGCTAACATAAAGCTCTATTTTTTTAAACTGGTTTTAAAAATTAATTTTGATTTTAAATTTTTATTAGTTACATAATGACATTTAAGAACCAACACAAAAAATTATTTTTATTATTTGAATTTGTGTTATAACAGAATGTTATTACATTTCTTAAAAATTACAATTTTTAAGAAATGTAATGACATTTTAAAAATTTTTATTGGTTATATTTTAATTTTGTGATAAATAATATTAATAAACAAAAGGGGATGGTTGTTAAATTTCTTAAAACTTCCCTAATCTCGAAACTAAAAAACAAAATACAAACATGGCCTCCTGTTTATTAACATATCATTTATTACAAAATTAAATCAAATACCCTTGGGGTCACAATGGCATCACAAAACATGCTTTCATCTTGGACAGGGGAAAACATTAAACAAAACTTGTAATTAACATGTTTTGCTTAGTATTTTCAATATTGTAACACAGCATTAACATTGAAAATACTAAAAGAAACATGCTAATAACAATTTTTGTTCAATGTTTTTCTCTATCCAAAATTTTTTTCACATTTTGTGACGCTAATAAGACCCCAAGAATAAAATATTCTTTTTAAACCAATAACTAAACAAAATTCAAAAAAAAAAAAAAAAAAAAAAAAAAAGTCTTTTGAATTCAATCATTAATCTAGAGATGTCATAAATATTTGGCAATTATTCTGTATTCAGCTACTTTTTTTAATATTTGGTATTTGGCTGAATAGCAGATTGTAACAGAAAAAGAGCACTGTCATTGGCAAATAAGAAAAATTTAGAAGTTCTATTTAGATGTTTTGTGTTTTCTGACCACAACTTGTAAGGTTGTGTTGTCTAATTTTAAGCAAACAGTTTCATTTAAAAACTAATTTCATTTACAACTTGACTTTGTTTTCCACATTTTCATACTTATGCCAGTTTGCACTTATTAAGCCACCCGATAAAAATGACAAATGAATAACTAACATTCCCATTTAAAATTAAAGCATGCTTTAAGTTCAGATTTTAGTGAAATATCATTTTTAGTAAGTTTGGAATTTTTTTGCGCAATATCTATCTATATCAACTTCTGAAATTACCTCAACAATACAAGATATACCCGAGTTGATAATTTTTGTAATCTTTTTCAGTAGTTTAAGAGTATGTTTTACCAAATATTTGGCTGCAGAATATTCTGTGCTTCGGCCAAACGCCTAGCCAAATATTCTGTGTTTGGTAAAATCACTACTTGTGATATCTATACATTTAACACACATGAAAAACGCATTTAATTGCAATATGAAAGAACACATAATGCAATAGACAACATTTGTTAGGGCAAAAACAAGGACTAAAAATCAAGCTCATTTTATCAATTTAGAAGGAAAAAATGTTGCTTACTTGATTTTATTTAAACTATTTTTGTTAATTACAAAATGTTATAAAATTATCTGTAAAGTTAGCAATTTGTCAAGACTTTTAATTTAACTACAAAAAATCTGAGTCAAAATACTAAACAAGTTCAATCAGTTTATAATCGCAAAAGCGGTCTTACTTTAGAGTAATCAAAATTTTGTTTTCAACAAATATTATTTATATTTCACTGAAATAAAAATATGAAATTTAAGTTAAATTAAAACTTCAGAAAAAACGTATTCATTAAAGCTACCATTAATTTAAAATGCTACGTTTTTTTTTTGTTAAAATGTTATTTACTTCCCTAAGGCATTCTCTAATACCACTACAGTTGAGAAGGCTACTTTATTGTTATTACAACCCTCTCTTAACTGTTTAACTTCAAAACATAAATTTTGACAAACAAGATCAATTTGCAGAGAAGCAAGTATGCTTTCAGTGACTTACTGATTATATACAAATAATCAAAGTACAAGTACTTATTTTTTATTTTATTGGCGGGACAAACTTTATAGCAAACTATGCAGTTCAAAGATACTTAGATAAGGCATGATATCAAACATCAATTAAAAGGCTTGTTTAGAAATTGTAAATGGTAATAATAAATTCATAATTTTTAAAGAGCTGAGGTGGACTAATGCACTGTTTTAATTGGAAATTTTTACTTTGACAATCTATCGCTTGTTATGTATAGATCAATCTAAAGACAATAATATGGGATGTGCCAACATTAAAGGTAATCAAGGTAATTGTATTACAGTATTCTAGCAACAACATGGTGGCCACAAAATTTTAAAAGTTAAATTCCAGTACATTCCAGGACATTTTGTTGCGTTTTCCAGGACATTTTATATCTTGTTAAATGAATATTATCAATTATCTTTACGGTATATTTTTTTCATATTGATTGAATTATAGAATAGAATATTATATCATTATATTTTTATATAATTATTACTCTCTTATTTAAAATTAAATTCAAACCATTTATATAAAAAAAATTTTCGCATAAAAAAATTTAATATTACTTCAATATTCTTAGTAATTTTTTAACTTGACTCAGAAAAAAAAAAAGTTCCAGGACATTTCAGGATATTCCAGGACTGTGGCCACCATGAACAATCAACCAAACATAACTTAAACTGGAATAAAAACTCATTAAAAAATTGATAGACAGAATTAAGGAAAAAAAAACATTTTTGTCATTACAGATTCATGCATTTACAAATTTCAAATTTGTAAATGCATGAATCAAAAAACAAGAATATATAAAAATCTGTTTTTATCTTAACTAAGCTCTTTTGGATCAAATACAAATAATTTCATATATATATTCTTATTATTATCTCCCCAGGGCCGAGAGGGCCGCTACAGTCAAGGAGGCTACTTTTGGGGTTACAAATCTTTCTCAACTCTATAACTCTATAACTCTAAAACAGGAACCTCGACAAACAAGACCGCTGCTCGGAAAATCAAGTTGAGTCCGGTACAACCAGAGACGTGGTGGGGATCGAACTTGGATCTTCTCGCTTATGAGACGAGCAATCTACCACTACACAACTACAGGCCTTGTTTTAAAGCGTTACGCCTAGAGCGATTTACGTACGCCTTAAGCGCTTTTTACGTACGTGTAGAGCTGTTTTGGTTAAGCTACTTTTTATCATTTTTTAACTTTTAAATTAGCGGTAACATAAAAGAAGTAATTAATTTTCAAAAAAACCACATTAACTTATAAATAACGATATGTAAAGGTATTTATTAAAAAAAAGAATTTACTTTAAAATTAATTGTTGTAACTTTTCATCGCGATATATCTTTCCTTTTTATAGCAATTAATTTGACGCTAAACTTTTAATCCAAATATTTAGCAACATGAAAAATTGTTTGTCAATCCTTAACTACAAATTTTTTGGAATGTTTTTAATAAAAAGTAGTAAAGTTTTTAGTAAAAAACTTTTAAAAAATCTATATTCTATATTTATTAATACAGAATATAAAAGTTTTTTGTAATATAGATTTTTTATGAATTTTTTACTGAATTTATATAAAAAACATTTGCAAAAAAATTTGTAATTAAGAATTGACATTTTTTTAAATAAAATCTCAAAAAATGTCTTAATATTTTTGTTATCATGATAACAAAAATATCAAGACATTTTTTCGAGATGTTAAAAAAAATGTCTTTGCTTTTCTTATTAGTTTATGAGTATATAGCTTATAGTTAGTTTAATAGTATATAGCTTTTCTTATTAGTTTATTAGTATATAGTTTAAGTTATGCGGGGGGAGGGGGTCGGCACAGAAAAAAAAATTACCTGTTACTCGCAATATTTGAATGAAGACAATTTGTTAAAATTCTTCTGCGTGCGATTCAATAAGTTTTTTTTGTCATAAATCAAGTTATTATATAAGGTAAAGAAATCATGAGTAGACTACAACATCCGCTGATGACACTAATATTACGTTGAATATATTTATATAACGGAGGTTTTATTATGCACGCGCACATTACAGGTTCCGTTAAATAAATACTAAGGCACGTTTTAGTTTAATGACAGTCTCCATTTTTTACTAATGAATATGCATTTTTCTTTATAAAACAAAACAAACTAGTATATAAAAACCTTGTATATTTCTATTATCTCTAAATTATTTAAAGTTCGAATATGGATTGTATTTTGAAGGACAAAAGATTTACTTTAAAAACTTTTAAATCTTGGGACTTTGCCGATGCGATGATCACAGAAAAAGAGAAGACTTACGTTATTAAAATCAAATGTAAGTTATGTGATCTTCATCAAAATAAAATATTATCCAAAAACAATAGTGCCGTAAGGGCAACTGCCCAACGGTTTATAAATAATACAAGTCATGTTAAAATATTTTAACATGTTACTATATTTTAATTAAGTTGATATATAATTAAAAATAAAAATATAGTTCAATAAATAAATTAAATTTATTCTTAACAAAGATTACCTCATATTTATTCTTTTTTTTATTTTATCAAGTTAAATTGCTTACAAACGAAAAAAAAAAAGAGTTTTGTAATTATACGTAGAATGAAAATACTTTTGAGTTTGTTTATAAGTTAAGGAACTTAATTTTTAATAAACAAATTTTTACGAACGTTTATTATAAACAGATACGATTCAAATTATTAAATATACTTAAATTATTTCAGTTGAGTATTTTTATAAGTTTGCACGATTAAAGTTTGGCGTACAAGTATTTGTTTTTTTGTTTTAAGAATAATTAATAAAAGAGTTTGCATAATTAAGACTTTTATATTTAATTTAATTTTTTTTTTAATTTCCTAAAATTAAAAAAAAAAAAAAGATTTAATCGTTGAAAACGATTTTTCTCTATAGCTCTGTTTCTTTGTGATTTGTTTAAAAAGTTAAATATTTTTACAATAACATAAAAAGTTTATGAATTAAATTCCTAGCGAACGCGTTCTAAACTACGTATCAAAAATACGCTTCAAAGCAGACAAAACTTTTTTATATTTTTATAAAACGCAAGTTGAAACGCTTTTAAAAATTTTAAAAATATTTAAAAACTTAAATTTTTCTTTGCTAGTCAAAACAAAATCGTTGTTTCAATTATTAACATGGGTTTGTGTTTATCAATGTTAATATTTTTTGTTTACTCTAGAAATTTTTAAAAATAAAAAAAATCATTATTATTTTTTATTCAATAACGATTAAAAACAATTATTCAAAAACAAATTTCAGAAATAATTAATATATATATATATATATATATATATATATATATATATATATTTTTTTACTAAATAATATTGAACTAAAATTAATAATAAAATAACAATTGAAAACATAACAAAATTTTCATAATAAATTTATATTTAAAACGTTTATAGTTTATATTTGAGTTAATTGTTAAATTGATTTAGTTTGCGGTTATTTATTTATTGCGGTAGTTAAAACACTTAACGCCTATAAAAAAAAATAAAGATAATTTTATGACGTCAAAATCGCGTTAAGCTAATGCATTAAGCACTTTTTTATTTAAAACAAGGCCTGAACTACCGTGTTTTGCCTTCACTTCATATTTTATCAATCACAAAATCAAAAAAACAAACAAGTAAACTCAAAAAAATACTAAACTAAAATAGATGCCACATTTCTAATTTATTGCTTCTTGATCTAGTATATTATTAAAAATTAAAGTTAATTCAATTATTTTATTTAATGGGTTTACAAGTTGATGTTTTCATTTAATTTTTTGGTCAAAATTGTTTTACAATAGAAAAAAGAGGAAGAAATTGGGCTTAATAAGTTGAATTATATTTCCATAAGTCTAGGTATATGCTTAAACTTTTTTTTTTTTAAAGGACTCATTTTTGAAAATTTTCTATAATTTCACTTGTTTAAACTTTGCAATAGCATGTTTCTACTTTATAAACTTAAGAAACAAAAAATAAAAACGCCCTAAAAATGTTCAAAATTTAAATAAAATTTTCTTCCCTGCTTATACAATCTTCTAAATCTTATGTTCTTTCTGTAACTAGATCAGTAGAATTTTCAGAAATGATCCTTGCTATACTACTAACATCACTGCAGTTTCCATTCAATTAAATTTATAATTAATGGAGCAAGCCTTAATTTAATTTTTTAAATTTTTAAAAACTTTAAATTTCAAATTCAAGATTATTTGAATTGTTAAAATAGATTTCTTTTTAAAATGAATTCCTAATAACAATTTGCGTATTTATAGAAAAGATTTAACCTTGATATTGCTATTAACAAAAAATATATTAAAAATGATATTTTGTTTTTCATATTCTATTCAAAATTTTTCGTCAAAATAATTTTTAGCTGAAAGCTTAAGGGGCTGTCCCTTAATTACATCAAAAAATTTTATGAAATTTTCACCTCCCCCTCTTACTTGTCAACAATTTGTCAAATTTCCAGAGACCCCCCCCCCTATAAAATTATGTCAATTTTTGATTACCCACATCAACTTCGATTGACCTCCTCCTCCCTCCCTCTTGTCAACAACTGTCAAAAAAGTTCAGACCCCTCCCCCTATTTTGTTGGCGTTATTAATGGACAACCCCTTAAGTGTTAACAACATAAGATTTAAATAGATACAAGCACTTCATCAGTAGACTGATGATTGCTTGTATGCTTGTAACTGCTTCAGTTAAGTTGTCAGATTTAGAAGGGCTATCTTTGATAAAATAAGTGTTATTCAGTATCTTGTAATCTTGAAGATGATACTCTGGCATCTTACATTATGTTGAATGAAAATCTATGTGCAAAAGAGATCATGCTTCTATATAAAAGTTAAATTAAGTGACATACTTTATTGATGACCCCTAATAAAAACCTCAGACAAAAACATTCTATATTTTTGCCCAAAAATGGCCAGAAAAAATCAAACTTTAAATTAGAAAAAAAAAATTACAAAAAAAAAAAAAACAATAAAAATATAATTTTAAATAAAAAGCTAATTGTGAAGGTGAAAAAGCAATTGCAATATGCTCAACTTAAGCCCTGCATCACAATAAAATTATAACCAATTAATTTGAAATTATCAATTTTATCTCTTAATTAGTAGTTGTTTAGATCATATTTATAAAAATGGGAAATATTTCAAAAAATATACTGAAAAACTCTAATTTAAAACAAATTTTTATTCTCAAATTAGCTTTCAGTCAAAACTTTTTGTATTAGAGATGACTAAAATAAGTAATGACACACACCTTGTATTTAAATTTTTTTTTTGGGCTTCAGAAAAATTGAAAAAAAAAGAAATATATGGAATTATGAATATATTTAATAAAAGATAACTTAGGCTAAATAGAATATTTTATTCTCAATAGTTTTGGCAATTTTATTATATTCAACCGAAAGTGGATTGCTGTCAAAAGAGTTGTTGAAAAAAAATTTATATATGTGTTATGAACAACTTCATTTGAAAACTATTGATGGAATCAGTATAAGACTTTTTTAACTATTTGATAACTTTTTTAAAGGATATTTGAAATAAGATTTTAACACTTCAAGATCCAAAAACTATCTTCAACTATTTTAATTAAACTCCATGTAAAAGTTTTCTGTATTAGCATCATTACTATCATTATTATAATGCTTCTTAATATTAACTTTATAAGTTACCACCATAATTGATGGAAAAAATAATTTCAGCATATTTAAAATCATAAATAAATTCCACTAATAATTTTTAATCTAAGTAACATTAAATCCAACATCTAAATTTAATCATTCCTAGATATATCTTACCTAACAAGCTTCATTTTCAAGCTTGATGCGGAAGATATAAAAGGATTACTTTCAACAAAATGTGAATATTTTTTTCCAAAATTTAAACCGCCATGTAATTTCAGCGTAAGTCGTCTGAACTTCCCGCTTTGTTCATTTATAAATTACTGACCCATATACTTTTAGAAACCTTGATAAAAATAATAAAAATATAATACTTTATATAGTTTAATTTAGAAATTACAATAAACTTGTTTACCCAAGCTATTAGTTTAAGTTTTTATTTATACCCTTTTTTTTAAGTTATAAGTAAGATTTTGTAAACAAATAGATAGTTTTAAAAACAAAAACACGCAAATTATATTTAAATATTTTCTGCATTTCTTTTTTTGCTTTTTAATATAGACGTAACTGTCGTACTATAATGGCTGCTCAAATGATACAATCGTTGTTATAATTTATTTACGTGTAATGAAGATCTATGAATTGATTTATAAGATATCATAGCCGATCATTTTTAATAGTCGAATTGTATTATTACCTGGAGTTTTAGGATGAGTGCAACTTTACCTCCACAAAAGATTGAAAAATTGCAGCAAATATTAATAATTGAACCAGAAAATGAGCTGGTGTTTCGAGGTATTAGAATTTAACTATGTCTCGTAAAAAAAAATATCTAATTTATAAAAATTTTGAAAAAAATGATACTTAGTTCATTTTTTACTATACATTTAACAACATTTGTATAAGTAAGAAAATCAGATATTAAAAAAGTATTTTGTATCCGTTTGTTTAAGTCAAATACTAACTTATAAATCATATATTCATGTTACCATAGATTTGAAAAAAATTAAATGTGATGTAAAATGAATTGTTAAATTAAAACCTTTGATGATTGCATCTTTTGTCCCAATTGTGAAGGTGCTGATAAGAAAATTGCAAAATCATGAGTAAAAGGAGTCAGAGCTGGTTTGTTTAGTTTTTCAAAGAAACATTAGAGAATAAGTTTAAACTTATTTGAATTAACAAAAAATAATTGTTTATCTAGATATCAACAAAAACTTCCTTTAATGTTTTTTATATCTTGTAAAAATGAACACTACTAGTCACAGCTGTTTCAGAGTGGACATACGGCTTCTTGTTGTTTTTTGAAAATAATTACTTAAGGGGTGTTACTAAAACTTTCATAACTTTTGAAATATTAAAGATAAATATGTTCTGTAAAAAGAATACGAACATCTACTAAATGTTTTATATTTTATCATTCAATATAATAATTCAAGGCTGCTCTAATTTTTAAATAAACGCGCAAAATGACAAACTTGGCAGATATTTGAAATTCTAATGGTACTTTTTAGCAAAAATAATCAGAAAAATTATATTTGTGTTGACTAATATGTAATATAAACATAGTTAGACCAATTATAAAACATATTAACATTATTTACACCCAATGCAATCAGATACAGGCACTACAATAGGCAAAATAAAGAAATCACTAAATACTTTTTTTTTTTTAAAGATTTAGAACAAACAAAAAGAGTTTCGAATTATTTTTGCTTTCGGTCATAGAATAATTTCCTGACACTATTATCAATATTACAATATTAAACTTTTCTGTAGAAAAAAAACTCATTTTTATATAAATATACATAACTATATAAGCATTTAAATAATTTGATAACTCGTTTTGTTAGATTGACATTTTTTTTAGTTAATATATTTATATCTGTTCTATAAGTAGTAAACGATCTTTAGTAAATGAGTTTTATTTCCATTTCATATGGAAAATACCGCCAAAGTTTGTTTCATTTATACACTAAAATTTGCCTCGCTAAAAAAATTGTTTTAATAAATTTAATTACATAGTGAATTGGGAAGTAATGCATTTAAAGTTACATCATTGCTTTAAAATATAAACAAAAATTTTACGCAGTAACTACAAATTTTGTTGCTAAACCTGCCAAGGTTAAAGTCGTTTTAGCTAGAAGTACAGAAAGTAATTTTTTTGATTTTCATGTGTATAAAGGGTTGAAATTTCAATAATTTGGAGGGCATAATAAAAATTGAGCGTTTTTCATATAAAACAAGTAAAAAAAAAAATAATGCAACTAACTTAAACTATTTTTTTTTATCTATGCCCTTCAAAAATCTGATAAAGTAGACATTCGTTTATAAGTATGTAAAATTTCAACCAGCAAGCATGTAGCTTAAAATATTAAACCTTGATTGGTCCAAGACAGATTTTTTGTAAAATACGCAAAAAACAGAAGCGATCCCAAATCATTAGCAATATTTTTACAACTTTTATTTTTATTTCATTTAATGAAAATATTTGTTTAACAAGGAAAGATAGATGTTTCATTTTTTTTTTTAGAACACAAAAGCGTTTATAGAAAAAAAAACTATTACTTTAAAGTTATTGAATTTTTATACTTTATATGCCGAAATTTTTAAAAAACTTTTTATGCCGAAATTGTTTTTGCTAAACTCGTGACGTAATGCCCAGTTTTACATTGCGTTAAACAGCCATGTTTATTAAGCCACTATAATCACAAACTGAATAGAACAATAAAGATTGTAGCAGTATACTCTTCTACACTTTGTTGCAACCATTGTTTTGTTTTTAATAGATTTTTAATGTAACATACTCACAATTCCCCTTAGTAGATTTTTACTTTATAGTTTTGATAACTTTTCAGGAAGAAAACAAAGATGTAATTCTAATAGTTTAAATTTGCCACAATTCCAGATAAATTTTTTATAACATGCTGTTTTTTTATTAGTAACCCTTTGTGTCAAAGTTTTTGCCGACTTGATGCCGACCTTTAACAGTTTAAGGTCGGCAACAAATTGCCAACATCAATTTTGTTAATTCAGAGGGTTGCATATCAGGCATAACAAGATCCTCCTTTTTTTTGACCTGCCACAATTATTAACTTTGAATGATGGTTTTAAAAATTATTATTCCACCCCTTACTTAATAATCCCATAATTATCAGGCTTGGTCGGGAAGCGGGTGCGATCGCACTCGATATTTGACCACGGAAATTATATTTAGTTGCGAAAAACCGGCCAGATTTTTTAGGCGTTTTGAGAATATTTCAAAAACAAGTAAAAAAGCGCAATAAGATAAACTGGACCGATGGGAGACAGTTAAAAAAAGAAAAATAGTTTTAAAAAAGTGACATTTTTTGTATATAGTAATAACGTACTAATAATGATTGTTTAATAAAGAAGCAAATGTTCTTCAATTTATCAAAGATTATATATAATTTTTATTTATATACTTATGACTTATTTCCAATGCTGGAAATAAGAGGTGGGGGGGGGGGGTAGAAGAGCTATAGTCCCGGGACACACAATGTTATGGGCCGAGAAATAGTCAAGAGGACCTATCGGTATTTTTAAGTCATTTTTACGCTGTCGCACATAAAAAAGGCCACCAAAATAATGCAGCCCCCAGCCCTGTAAAGTCCAACAAGATTAAACCAATTAAACTAACGCTACATAATTTAATTATAAATAAAAAAAGTTTTTTCAGTACCTGTTTTATGCTTCGCTTAGTTTGAAAAGTTTAACATATTTGAAACAATTCTTCTTAGTAAGATAAACAAATGAAATAACTAAATCATTGAGTTACTGTGGAAATTTAATTAGCTAGATAGAAATTAACTAAAAACGTTAAATTACTTAGTAAGGAGGAAGCAGAACTGCTTAACAATATCGCTGATGATGTTTAGTGAGTGGGCTTTATATCTTTAACTAGTATTTTACAGAAAAAAGTAACTTTAAGTGTAAGTATAACGAGTTTGTAAGAATGGCTGAAGCAAAAATAGTTGAAGTTAATAAACCAATTTCTAATACATTACATACATATAAATATCTCCCTTATATATAAAAAATAAGATTATACTAATTAAATCTATAATATATTTACAAAACGTTGACAAGTTTAAAAATATAAATTTAAAACATTTATTTTTGTAAACAAATGTTAGTTTAAAACATTTATAGCTTTGTAGATGTGACTCCGAGAATGAGCCACTGTATTAAAATAATTGTTCGCTTGATAGTATATTCTTAAAGCAATTGATGCTAGAAATCTCAACGAAAACATAACAAAACTCAAATTATACGATTTTGAAAAATAATTCAACAGAATACTCTAGAACATTTGCTTGAATTCTTTAGTAATTTCAGTTATTTATTAATTGAACCAATAGAATTAGTTGTTCATAAATTTGGCGGGTTTTTTGTGTTTGCGAATATTCTTTATTTATTTTTCCGCACTAAGATGTTTGATAACATTCAAGTTTATATAAGTTTCCACGTACGTCCGTAAAACAAAATCTTTTAAAATTTACGATAAAATGAACTTATTATTATGCGGACAAACAAGGAAATATACATAAATTGAAATGTTCTCAAAACGCCTGAAAAATCTGGCTGGCTTTTCGCAAGTAAATATAATTTCTGTGGTCAATTATCGAGTGCGATCGCACCCGCTTCCCGACCAAGCCTGAATTATAGTTTATCTCACTTTAATCAACACCCAGTTTTAAACCTTAATAACTGCAATGTGAATATTTTTGTCTTTTATGCCATCAGGTGCATTTTTTATTAAAGCAATCCCAAACCATACATTTTCATCTACGTGCTTTACTGTAGCTTGCTGTATTTAAGGTAATTTTTATGGCCTTTTATTTTAGCCATATGTATTTTTAAATCTCTTTAGAAATAAAAGGTTTTATTACAGGACATAGATTTGTAGACATCAAATGACACATGGTTCAGGGTTGGACAGGAATGGCGTGCAATCAAGTGCTATTGCTGACCTCGCAAATTTTTGACAACTTGACCTCGATTGTTTATATGTTTTGATGATTTAAACATTTCAGAAATACACTAATAATAGAAACGCTGAGCTTAACTTAAACTAGGAAGACAAGGATAATAATAACAATAAAGAAAAAACAATTCCTAACGAAAAAGAATATATTTAAGCACTAAAATAAAAATAAAAACTTAAACTCAAAGCAAAACTTTTTGTTACATTTTTAATTTTGTTTGAAATAAATGTTATTAAAACTTATCTTTTTAAACATTTTATTAAAGTTATTCAAAATGCTTTTTAATTAAGTAACAAATTACTACTAATTGTTTTGTTTATTAAATGAACAAATTTATCAAATTTATTAAAAAGTGTTTTATATAATATTTTAAAATCGTATAAACTTTTCCATTATTCTACAAAATACATGCTTATATAAGTAAATAAAGTTATTTTATATTCTTGTATAATTCATATAAAATGTTTCTACACAGGTTATAAGCAAGTAGTCACAAAAAGTTTAGAACTTATTCATAAATTATAGTAACTTAAAATTTTTTCAAAAAATAATTGTTTAAATAAAGTTCAGGAAGATATGAAAAAATAGTTTCAAATGTTTAAATTTATCATTAAAAAAAATTTTGTATAAAATTTTTTATTAGTTTATACAAAATGTCTTTATTTAAACAATCATTATAATTAATTTTATGTTTTTATTTAAAGCCTTTGCGTAAAATAAAAACTTTAGAAAAGATCAACGAATAAAAGTTATTCATAACATAACACTTTTTATTGCATTTAAATTGTTAAAACAGCTATATTGACCACCACTATATTGTCAATATAGCTGTGGTCAAGTTGTAAAGAAAAAAAACTATTAGTGTGGTCAGTTACAGAGTGCGATCGCATGTCATTCCTGTCCAAGCCTGTATCAGCACTACATATAACATTTGGAAATTTTTTCATTTCAGCATTTATCAAGACAACATTTTTGTGTATATCATTTGTTTCTGTATGAATTTAAAATTTAGAGTTTAGAGGTTTCAAGTCACATATCTTTAAAATGATCTTTTTATTTAAAACATTGTACCTGGCTATTTTCAGGGTTGCCGAATCCAATAAAATGATTAGAAATTTAAATTATTATTAAATACCTGTATTTATCAATTTAAATAAATTTAGGCAGTTTTTTATATACCTGTTTTTAATGCCCAAGAAACTCATGTGACCTTGATGATATAAAAAAATTTTTTGTACACATTCTATATTCATTGATCTTTCAGAAAACATAAGCATTTTAATCTGCAAGTATATGAATTTCTTTCTATGAGTAACAGGGCATAGACCCCATTTTTTTGTAGCGGAATATTGTGGTTGATTTTTCTCTACCTTCTAGACTAGCTGGAGTTCTAAAATTTTTGGCATTTCTAAAGCACTGATAAAAATGTATATTGAAATTGTTTCTAGGGTCCAAGACAACAGAGGAGAGCTGGGTTATGTTGCCAACTTTTTTTAGTGGAATCTTGCAATAGATTTTAAACTATTTTCCAGACAAATTGGAGCTTTTAACACATGTTCATCAGGACTACACAAATACTGAAAATTTCAATATTTGTGTAGTCCTGATGAACATGTTTTAAAATTGCTCCCAGGGCAGACTACTAAAGGGTCCATAATCCAAGGCACTAGAGTCCATGTCCCACTTTTATTTAAAAAAAAAAATTTCTGACTTTAGCAAAGTAAAGATAACTTTAAAAATATTCTCCACAAAAATTTTTTTGTTCTGTTTTATTGAATTATTTACAAAATAAAATACAAAAAAAAATTGTGTCAGTTATTGTTACAGGTACGTCAATGATACAAATTGTGTTGGTAATTAAAATCCAACACTTATCTGGTTATATATAGCGTTAAGCTGTAAAAATGTTTGAATAAAAATTATGTTTGACGTAAGCGCTATTTACTAATAAAAAAAATTAAAAGTGCTATTTACTAATAAAAAAAATTAAAAAATACTAAAACTTAATATCTATTAAGCTAATTATTTTATTAAAAAGAAAAGTAACGATTATAGTTTTTTTTTTATGCAAGGAAATAAAAAAATATATATATATAAATAAAATATATATAATAAAAACTTTTATTTATCATCTTGAGAGGACAAGAATTGTTTATGCAACTTTTGATTGCATTAAAAAAATTTTCTTAAATTTCTATTTCTATAGTAATAAATAATTTCTACTTTTTTTTTTTTTTTTTTTTTTTTTTGCAACAATTGCTTGAAAAACGCTTATGCTTTAAGCTTGAAGCAAAGATCATTATAATGTAATTTATTTCTGATAAAAAAATAAATGATTTAATTCAAAACTAATTTAACAAAAGTATATAATTTTATTCTTATAAAAAAATATGTAATTTATTTTTGATTTAAATATATATATATATATATATATATATATATATATATATATATATATATATATATATATATTTATATATATATATATATATATATATATATATATATATATATATATATATATATATATATACAGCGCTTGAAATAACGGCCGATCAACGATCAATGATCGTCGACTTTTGGAAAAAATGAAATTTTGAACTCCCAAAATTAATTATGGCCGATCAAATTTGATCGTCTACATTGCATGTCTCACATTAGAATAAATTTTTTAACATTTAAAAAAGAATCTTAAATTTATTAAATTAGCATTAAAAAAAATATGTTCATTATTGCTGAATTAAACAAGTTTTTAGACCAATAATAATCTTTTAGTTCACATTAAAAATGCTAATTAAAAAGAAGCGCGAAGGATATTGTAAATAACTTAATAATGCTTTTGATTGGTGGAATAAACATAGCGTTGATTTTGTAACAGTCTTCAGTTCGAAAGTTTATTAACTGTAAAAGAATTATTTTAATAAAGCGAATTCATTTGAATAAAATGAATTAATAACTAGAAAGGTTAACATTTCTTTGATTGTCTGAAAAATAATGAACAAAGCAAGTTTGTGATTCGTTGGAAAACTTCATTTTGAAATCATCGTGACAATTTAAATTGAAAGAAACAGTTTTTGTTTTAAAGTTTTAGAAATTAAATGGTAAGTTTAAAAATAATCTTAAAATGGAAGCATACAAAAAGCGTCAAACATTTATTTCTTTTAAAAGAAACTTAGTATCTGGAACACCCGCTGAGAAAAAACTAAAAACTTATGACAGAAAGCTACAATTACAAACAGCTAATAAATGGAAAGTCTCTACGCTTGCAAAATATAATGCTAATGATTGGCTTGAAATTGAAAGCGTTGACGGAATAGTTACAGCCCTAAAATGCAAAGTATGCCGAGAATATGCATCGCAAATTCAGATTTTAAAAAGCTACACTCCGGAATGGAGCTGTGGAAAAGGATGTAGTCGATTGCAACATAGTTCTGCAATCACGCAAGCAGAGGGAATGTCTCATCAGAAGGCTTTTGAGATTTTTATGAAAACGAGAGTCATGAATTTGTGCGATCGAATTGAAAAACTAAACGAGTTGCAGCAGGAAATGCGGCAAACAGACATTTTATCCGGTATTCAAACCATGAATAGTAAAGACTTGGATTTGACAAAAAAAAAATTTGAGGTCGCTTACTTTATAGCAAAAGAAGAACTATCGCTTTGCCTATACCCAAAAATAATTCAATTAGAAGAGAAACATGGTGTAGTTTTTGGTCAGGCTTATAAAAACGAAAACACATGCGGAGTATTTATTGACACATGCGGAGTATTTATTGACTAAGTTGGTTTCAATGAAAATTTATAGCAGCAGCAGTGTATAACTATAAATATATTTTGATATAATAATATATTAACGATATTTTGCTGACCTGTTGTTGTCAGCATCATCAGGTAATAAAAAAATTGTTACAAAATAACATGAAATAAACTGTTTAAAAAAAAAGACATTAAAAAGTGTGAAATATAAAAAATATAAAAACCACTCATGTGTGGTGTGTGTCAGGCCTTGTTTTAAATAAAAAATATTTAATGCTTTAGCCTAATGTGTATGAATATGGCGTCATAAAGTTCTCTTAATTTTTTATTTTTTTAAGGACATTTTTAAATTACCACAAAATGAGTTGAATTGATTTATAAACTCTGTTATGTAATATGGTATAGAATGTTAAATAATTAAATTAAATATTACTTTTTATTAAATATTTTATATAAACTAATTACATTTACCAGCGATTTTGTTGTGAAAGCAAAGAATATTTTAGATTTTAAATATCATTTACAGGCCTTGTTATGAGATTTTTTTTTTTTTTTTTTTTCCATTAAAATATTTTATTTTTATGTACCGTGAAACCTAATGTATTTTTACTATTTTTTTACTAAATCCAAAAAGAAAAATAGTATTTTCAGTTTTAAGTTGTTATTAGCGAACTTATTTTTAACAAATATCAGTATAATTTTGAAATTTACGTATCTTATATCTATTGTACTAGTATTAAATTTGTTTTTAAAACAAAATAAATATAAGTTGGACTTTTAAAGAGTTTAATTATTGATTGCGTTATTTTTAATCGGTTTAAAGTTTGGTTCGTTTTATAAAAAAAAAATTCTTCTGCATAAAATTTAACGGCAAAGGGAAAACCCAAACAAATCATTTAAACTCAAGTTTGAAAGAACTTTTTTGTATTGACGTCATTTATTAACTACAAAAGCGCATTATTCAGACCAGTATTTGGAAATGGAACTTACCTGAAACTTAACTGAAATTAAAATTATATGTAAGTTATATGTAATGCGAACATTTTAAAGTTACTTGAATAATATTTATTAAATTTTTTTTTTTACTTTGACATAAATTTTTGAAATTTTATCAGTAAAAAAAATGTTAAAACGTTTTGAAATTTTTAAAAGAATTTTAATTGAATTTAATCAAATAAATTACTAAAACTTTGAATAATAAAATTAATTTAGATGTAATAAAATAAGTTAAAAATATTTTTTTTTTTTTTAAACGGAAAATAGAAAAAAGAATATCTAATAAAAAAATATTCGACAAATGTTTTTTTACAAAAATTAATTACAGTTAAATGTTTTAAATGACTGTTTAAAATAAACATATTGAAAAAAGTTTTTGCGTAACATAAATTGCAAAATGCATACGTGAAATTGTGAATACCTATGTAAAATTAAAATGGGAAAATGTTTCTTAACAAAGTTTGATTTATAAAAAAACATATATTGCTGCGCTTTCACTTGCCCTATGAAAAAAAAATTTATAATAATCGTCATTCAAACCCTTAAGTGGTTTTTAAACACATTTATATATATATATATATATATATATATATATATACATATATATATATATATATATATATATATATATATATATATATATATATATATATATATATATATATATATATATATATATATATTAGGGTAGCTCAAGACCCTCAATCATCAAACGGGTCCCTATAATTATTAAAAAAATAGTTCTTTAAAAGTATATCATGTTGGGCCTCAAATGAAGCAAAGTTATATTAAAACTTCAAAAATAATCATCATTTTATAAAAAACATTATGAAAAAAAAATTATAATAAAATGTTTTTGTAAAAATGCATATTTTTAGTTAAAAAATGTCATTTTCTAGCCAGTGAAATCTAAAATAAATTTTTTTGAATAAAATATAAAATGTATGTATGTCTATTTAAAGTCAATTATAAAATAACATTCTTTTAAGGTCCTTTCAAAGATGTTGTTACCACAATTCTAAAGTTAAAGAATCCCTCTGATAAAAAGGTTTGCTTTAAGGTCAAAACAACTGCTCCAAAGAGGTATTGTGTTCGTCCAAATTGTGGTCTTATTGCACCGGATGCTTCTGTTAATGTAGCAGGTATTTCATTATGTTAATAAATGGTTTAATACAAGTTTATTTATGATTTAAAATCCAACTTTGTGTTAAAACTTTAAAAAGAAAAACTTTAAAACTTTACAAAAAATAATATTAAAAATTTGGTTATGTTATATATAAACAAGTTTAATATTACTTTTTATTATTTTACAATCAAAATCATAATTTTCTTATACAATAAATTATATAAGAATATTTAATTTTTTTTTAGTTTTGATTAATAGAGTTTGTAGATATTATAAATGTTGCGGGTGGGAAGTTCCAAAATAAATTTTAGTTTTGAAAATCAGAAAATTCTCATTTATTCCTATTGTTTGGTTTCAAAGAGCACCAAAAATGTGGAGAGACTTATGGACTACTTCTAGTAAAAAATTTAGGACATTTAAGTTACAAGAACTATTGATTTTGAATCCAGAGTCCATAAATAAAATAGCGGTAAGGGACTCTTGGCTAAAAAATGTGCTATTAGAAAATATCTCATTAATTTTTTCTTAATGTTGTCTATACGTCTTGTGGTATAATTAGTTTTCTTTCAATATTTTTTATGTCATGATTTAAATTGGCACATACCATTAGTTAATTATAATAATAATAAACATTTAAAGAATAATGATTGTTAATAATTGGTTATCAAATTTTGTTTATTAAGTAATGTGATTTGTTTAATGCTAAAAAATGTTTTCACTTAATTCTAATCTTTATCATACATTTTGCATGAAATTTAAATTAAAGAGATCCCAAGCATCAAGACAAGTTGTGTTCATATCAAAGATCAACATTAGAAAATAAATTAAATGTTAAGAAAATAAGTTAAATGTTAATTAAAAACTTATATATAGGAGTGACACCAAATAATTATAACAATGATTAAATAATAATAATATTATCTATAATAATACAAATAATATAATTATAATAAAATATAACTAATATGAATAAATATAAATAATTATTTGAAAAGGAAGGTGTCACTCAAACAGAAGCCTGACTAAAGGAGTGACACCAAATAATTATAACAATAATTAAAAAATAATGATATTATCTATTATGATACAAATAATATAATTATAATAAAATATAACTATTAAGAATAAATATAAATAATTATTTGAAAAGGAAGGTGTCACTTAAACAGAAGCCTGATCAAAGGAGTGACACCAAATAATTATAACAATAATAATTAAAAATAATAATATTATCTATAATAATACAAATAATATGATGACATAAGTGTCATTTATAATCAAAATGAGTGACACCAATTAATTATAACAATTAGTATAATAATAAAATAATTATAAAAATAATAAATATGAACCGAAAATCGCTGAGAAAATAAATAAAATAATAATCATAACGATAAAGGGATATGATAAATAACGATAACAATAAACAACGATAAGTTAAATAATAAGACAAAAAAATATGAAAACACTCAACAATAGCAAACAAAAATAAAAATAATAAGCAAAACAGAACAAATAAAAAACAAACCTTACACAAACGAAAAGGCAAAACACAAAAACAACAAGATGAAACACAAAAACAACAAAACAAAAAAGCAAACACAAACACTTCTACAAATAAAAAAAAATTAAAAAATAAGGACAAACTTTATCGTAATTTTTGCGAAATAAAGAAAAGAAAAAAAGGTGTAGAAAATTTGGTAAAATAGAAAAACAGGAATCAACAATAAAAATAATTAGCACTAATAATAACAAACTTTACCCAAACAAAAAGAGAAACACAAAAACTACAAAACGAAATGCATAAACAAAATGATAATATTTAACAAATATAATATTTAATAAAAATAATTAATGGTAACATTAATTATTTTTCATAATTAAAATAAAATTAAAAAGATGATAATTACTACAAAGACTAGCTACAAAAATATCTTCTAAAACTCAATCTTTTTCTTTTCTTTTTTAATTTTTATCTTTTCTTTTAGTTAAATTTAGGTGAATGAACGTTCGAATTTTTTTCTTTTTTTTGTCTATTATTTTATAAGTTTATATGACGTAAACTCTCTCCTTCTCCTTTTTATTTGGACTTCTCCTTTTTATTTGGATTTTTTTCGACGTTTTATTAAATTTATATGCACTTAATTATTATTATTTCTTTTTTCGTTAATTTTAATTTTTTTTAAAAAATTTCTTACTTTATTTACTGATTAGATTTGTTGTTTAGCTATTAAATTTTTTTTTTAATTTCTTTTTTCTTTTTTTTCTTTTTCTTTTTCTTTCCATTATAAAAACACGCCCGCCATCATTGAAGACTCTCCAAGGATCCAACAAATGAATATTAACAAAAAAACTTTTAATTTTTAACGCCATTTTGTTTCTCGCGAAGGGAAGATCCAGATTTTTCTCTTTGACTATTTAATATTTTTTTAATCCAGTCTAATTAATGCCTTTTTGGTCTTAATATTTGATGTCAATAAAAAAAATTTCTTTTAAAAAACCTAAATTGAATTAAACATGTAGAGTATGTTAGGGGTTTCCCTTTTGCGATTAAACAAAAATATAAGATTCAATTTTTTAGTATCAATTTAATAAATATATATTAGATCATTTTAAAACGGTATTTAATATTAATTTTAAATTATTATTTAATCATTTTAAAACGGTAATTATAAGTATAAATTAATATAATAAAATATAAATTCAACCACAAAAGTACTATTTTATTTTTGTGGTTTTGTGATAAATAGTACAAATAAATTGCTGATTGAAACATATACTTAGCTGTATTTTTTAATAAAAGTAATAAGTTTGCTTTGATTAATTATTATTTTTATTACGCTAGTTTATTCTAACTTGAACACTTCACAATATGTTGAACAAAAAACAAAAACATGCTACAGCGAACGTTTTTTGTAACCACTGCAGACTAAAGGGGAAAACCCAATCTGATTATGTAAAACTGTTTAAAAAAATTCTTCGGTGAGAGAAATTATCTATTATTGAAACCAGATGTTTTTTTAAGAAAAAAACTTGCATATTTGATAGCTTCAACCGGAAGTATAATGGCAAAACAACAAATGCTTTTGTTAATATCTCATTCAATAATTTGTTTTGAAAGGTTTAATTAACATTTAACTTATTTTCTAATGTTTATCTTTGATATGAACACAACTTGTCTCGATGCTTGGGGATCCCTTTAATAAACACTGGATGCGGTAAAGAAAGCAGATTCCAAATACCAGGGAAAAGACTATAATGCTAGGTCTTCGTGTTCAAACCAGGTACCTTTCAGATTTAATAATTTCATTGTTAAAACATTTGTTGTAAACTGTTAAGGTCCATGAAATGCAAGTTCATTGAAAAATACTTTTTTTTTTTTTTTTTAATGCGAAATTTTTCAAATAACTGAAACACTAAAACCTTGGGTCTACTTTATTGTATTTTTTTACCTATTTAATTTGAGAGTATTTAAAAATTTATACAAGCTCTATTTTTACCAAATCTCTGCTTTCAAATACCTAACCTTATCTTGATATGACTTTAAATCTAATTGATTATGTCAAACTTTAAGAAAGTTGTATATTTTAGTGATGCTGCAACCATTTGACAGCAAAGATTCAGCTGAAGTTCGAAAGCACAAATTTCTTGTACAGTCTATCTTTCCTACTGATGATGTTGCTGCTAGTGATGTTGAGGCTTTAGTATGTTTTTATTAAATAAATGTGTTTGTAACTTGTGCTATAAATTATTACTTGTATTGTATTTGTATATTTTTTTAGTTATCCTTTATATATATATATATATATATATATATATATATATATATATATATATATATATATATATATATATATATATATATATATATATATATATATATATATATATATATATATATATATATATATATATATAGAGAGAGAGAGAGAGAGAGAGAGAGAGGCCTTGTAATAAAAAAATGCATAACACATTAGCATTAAAATATGTTAAATTTTTTAAAATGAGTTTTTCTCAAATAATCATTTTTAAAAATTTGCAACTAAAAATGATTTTTTATTTTAAAAAAATTAGCGAGTAACAAATAAAAAAATTACATTAATTTATCTACTCTATTTATTAAAAGTTTATTATTTTATTAGCAATTTTGTTGTGAAAGCAAAGATTATTTTTCCAAACACCAAATCCAACATAAAATTATATCATTGTATATATTATTTATTTCAAAATAATTGCTGTGTCCTTGCATTTTGTAAAAAAGTTTAACTTGCATTTTGTGAAAGTTTTTAATACAGCCTCTGAACACATTTATTTAAAATTTAATTTTGAGTAAAAAAAAATGTTTAGTAAAGAAAAGCAATTGCAATAAAATTAGCTTCCTTATATTTTTTTTTTTAATAAGAATTAATTTTTTTTTTTTACATATTTATATAAGTATTATACATAATAATATTTATATAAATATGTAATTTTTATAAATCTTTTCAAAAATTTTCTAGGATTAATTTTATAAACACTTTTAAAGGCAAAAATTGTGTGTGTTTATATATATATATATATATATATATATATATATATATATATATATATATATATATATATATATATATATATATATATATACATATATATATATATATATATATATATATATATATATATATATATATATATATATATATATATATAAACACACACAATTTTTGCCGTTAAAAGTGTTTATAAAATTAAAGTAAAATGAAGCTAGAATTAAATACTTTAAAATAGTACATACAAAAAGATATACAAGTACATACAAAGTTAAAAAAAAAAATAGAAATGCATACAAAAAAATATGCGCTCAAGAGGAATTAATCCCACATTGCCATGCAACAAGGTAAAATTATTAAGCACAAGACCACACTATACATATCAAATATGTAGTAAATTATATATTTATACTTGTTTTTAACGCTACGCAATAATTTAAAACAATGATTTATTATCGTGTTATTAATTTACACAAAACATCAAATGTCGGAATAGGTTTTTGATTCTATCATTTACCTTAAAATAACTATTACGTTAAAGCTTTTATAAAATAA